GTGGCCTGGATGTTTGTGAGCTGATCAGTGAGCACAATGTATTGCTACGGGAGAAAAACCCTGGATTTCAGATAGAGGTGCCTGGAATCCATTTTCCTGGCAGAGTCACATTGGTGCCTACTTGAGGGTTGTGGCTTAGAGGGTGGTAACAGCCCCATGATGGGCACCATCTGGGCTGTGGTGTTCAGTGCTTTATGCTCTGGGCCTGGCACAGAGCCTGGTACACAGTAACTGCTCAAAATGTTTTTTTTTTTTACTTTAAAAAAATTATTTAATTTACTTTTGGCTGAGTTGGGTCTTCGTTGCTGTGCGTGGGCTTTCTTTAGTTGCAGCGAGCGCGGGCTACTCTTCGTTGCAACGTGCGGGCTTCTCATTGCGGTAGCTTCTCTTGTTGTGGAGCGCAGGCTCTAGGTGCACAAGCTTCAGTAGCTGTGGCTCGCGGGCTCTAGAGCGCAGGCTCAGTAGTTGTGGCGCACGGGCTTAGTTGCTCCGCGGCCTGAGGGATCTTCCGGGAACAGGGCTAACCCGTGTCCCCTGAATTGGCAGCCGTATTCTTAACCACTGTGCCACCAAGGAAGCCCTCAAAATGCTTATTGAATAAAAAATGGACGAACTTCATTCAGATGGGGGAGCTTCAGCATCGGACAGGGGTTGGTCTGAAGTTTGGGGGTCCTGAGGATACTGATGGATAGTAATTATAATTCAAAGCTCAACATCTGAATAAGAGAACATACTTATATAAGGAAAGATCCTTCTCTAGATTAATCAACCCTAAGAAGTCTAAGCTGGATACATTTTCAGCTGAAAAATACATTTTCAGGTAAGGGGTGTATTTGTTATAGACAAAGCATGGATGGCAAAGTATAAAGGACAAAATAAAAATGGCTATAATTCTGCCATTGGAGATACTCACAGCTAAATTTTTTGGTATATTTCTCCCTTTCACTATTAAGATGCTCTATTTCTTACTTTTTCACCCCAGGTAGCATTATTTGTGAGCATTTCCATGCTATTAAATGTTGTACTACTAGAAATAATACTTCAGGGAACATTTTTATACATAAGTCCTTATTTGCATTTTTTGATTAATCCTCTAAGAAAAATCCATAAAGTAGATTTTTTAGGTCAAAGTTTATGCATGATATATGTTGGAGGTGGAGCAGGAAATAAGTTATGTTTCAAGAGTATCGATGAATTATGACTTTCCTCCTACCAAGAGTTCACAAAAAATATGAGAATTGTTTCTAAAATAGTTTCGGAGAGCCACAGATTTTTAATGGAGTCGATCGCTGTGTTACTGCCTTGGACAGGAGTCCAGTCATCGGTCCCTTTGAAATGTTTCCCTGCATAATAAGCACATAGCATGCAAATTTCTAAATCCAGAAAGGAAAGAGCAAATAAATAAGCTTCTAAAATGTGAGGCCCTTTAAGAAACCAAGTAAGCTACACAATGCTTACTGGAATTAGGCAACTCTGCAAGGCAGGCTGGGTAAATTCTCAAGATGACAGGCCACTAAACTGTTTCTCTAGGGACAATAAGGGACCCTGCTTGGCACCCATTTTGGGAGAAGTGGAGAAAGCACATAGGCAGCCAGCCAAAAGCTTTAGCGCCTCATTGGAATTCATCTGGGGTCCGGTGGGCATCTGTCTTTGGACTGTTTTGTTCACTGTTTATCCCTGTGCCTGGCAAGGAGCCACAACACCACACTGTAGGCTTCACAACCACACACTCTCCCCTGAATATGTTTCCCTAATTTCACTGGCCACAACCTGATGTAGCATTGTCGTGCTGGGAGGTGCTTAGAGGAATATGAAAGCTCTCAAAAATCCAAGGTGACTGTAGGGAGATTATCAACTAGCTGTAGACACCGGACAGATTGTATTAGTCAGAGTTTCTGGTTGCATACATTGGTACCCATCTGGCTAGATGAGGCTTGTGAAATAAAAAATAATATATATATATATGTGTGTGTGTGTGTGTGTGTGTGTTCCTGACACAGGGCTCCTAAAACCCTTGTAAATCCCTAAGTGATAAGAATACTAGGAACATCTTTTGTTCTAATGAGGTGACTCTAGGTGGGCTCCTGGGTGAACCCTGGATGGGGGCTGCTCACCAGAAAGACCAAGCCGTGATTTGAAGTGTGGAATTTTCAGCCCCATCCATCATCCTCCAGAGAGGGGAGAGGGGTGGGAAATGGAGCTAATAATTGATCATGCCTACAAGAGGAAGCCTCCATAAAATCCCAATAGTATGGGGTTCAGTGAGCTTTCAAGTTGGTGAATACATCCACATACTGGGAGGGTGGCGCACCCCAACTCCACAAGGACAGAAGCCCCTGCACTCGGGACCCCTCCCCACCCCCCAGACCTCGCCCTATGTACTCTTCATCTGTCTCTTCATCTATATCCTTTATCGTATCCTTTAATAAACTGGTAAATACATTTCCCTGAGTTCTATGAGCCACTCTAGCAAAGTAATTGAACCTTATGGCGGCGGGGGTGGGGGGAGGGTGTGTGGATCATGGGAACCCCTGATTTGTCCCCATGTTTGACAGAAGTTGTGGGTAACCTGGGGTCCTACACCTGCGATTGGCATTGGAAGTGGGGTGGGAGCAGTCTTGTGGGACTGAGCCCTTAACCTGTGGCAGAGTGTCAGAACTGAGTTAAATTGTAGGACACCCAGCTGGTGTTGTGGAGAATGGCTTGGGGCAGGGACCATCCCTCCACACACACATCTGGTATAGAAGTATTGTGAAAGTGGTAATAGTATGAGAGCAAAGGAGACATACAGGAGCAAAGGACAGAAGGAGACATACAGAGCAAAGACCTGTAGGTTTTTCCAATACAAAGGTGCAAAAGGACTTATCAGAGAATATTAAGAACCTCTGGGATGCTCTAAATCCACGCAGATGGGAAAAATAGCCAACCACGTGATGGGGCTTACTCTAGGCTCCAGAGAATATGCCTTCACCAACTTGCTAGGCACCCTCAGTCACCTTCCCTTGGGACTGGACACCTGTCTCTCCAGCTCTGCTTCCCCTGGCCACCAGGGACCTTGGCTACTTGGCTACCAGGAGCACATTCCCCCCGCCACTTCTTCACCTTGCTCATTTGTGAAGCCACAACTCACGTGGATGCATCTGGTTGGTGGAACCCAGGTCATGGGCCCCCACCTTAGCTGCAAGGAAGTCTAGGAATGCCCAGTTTGGAGTTTCTACTGTGGGAAGGCATGCTTCATATAAAAATATTGCCAAGGGCTTCCCTGGTGGCACGGTGGTTGAGAGCCCGCCTGCCGATGCAGGGGACAAGGTTTGTGCCCTGCTCCGGGAAGATCCCACATGCCGCGGAGCGGCTGGGCCCGTGAGCCGTGGCTGCTGAGCTGCGCGTCCGGAGCCTGTGCTCCGCAACGGAAGAGGCCACAACAGTGAGAGGCCCACGTACCGCAAAAAAAAAAAAAAAAAAAAATATTGCCAAAATGTAGGGGGAATCTTGAAAAGATTGGGTAGCTGCAAATGACAAATATCCATTATCCAATGAATGAAAACTACTGGGGCAAAAAAAAGCAACACAGTCAAAGATTTTGTGGCATAAATTATTTGGGTATTAGAGGATTTCAGAGAAAGGAAAGGAACTTGTGAGCAGTGGTTTGGCACAGACAATCTTGAATTTGGTACAAAGGAAATAAAGGATTTGAATTGGAAGAGGAAACAGAAACAGAGGGCATTTCAGGTGGGAAATTCAGCTTGGGCAAAGGCATGGAGAAGGAGGGGGCTGTATAATTTGTTGTCCAAACCAGCACACTTGAGGGTAAAATTGTAACTGAGCAGGACCCTATGAGGCCTTCCCAGGACAGATCCCCCCATGTCCTGTGCCTGCCTTTTGTTTTCATAAAAACTTTAGATTCCTAGGTCTTCCCGAGTTCCAAAGAATAGATTTAATCAAAGTGTGAAAATGCAGAAACAAAGGAAAACATTCAAGCAAGACAAAAAAATAATAGTTTAACCATTAAACAAAGTCGAGGACCTTTGGTTCCTCCTCAAGGGCTAAGATAATATTCTGAGCCATGTCCTTTGAGCTGTTTTGCAAATACAGAAACCCCCACCAGGTGGAAGAAGTTAACTGTATGCTGACCATGAACACGTGGACCCCAGACTGGTTGGAACCAGAAGGTTGATGATGTTGACTCCTGATTGCCTCACCACCAACCAATCGGAAGAATGTCCACGAGCCGATTGTGTACCCTGCAACCCTCTCCCTCACCCAGTCTTTAAAAACCTTTCTCTGAAAGCCATTGGATAGTTCAGGCCTTTTGAGTGTTAGCTGCCTGGACTCCTTGCTTGGCGCCCTGCAATAAACCTTACACTTTCCTTCACCACAACCCAGTGTCAGTAGATTGGCTTTACTGCAAGTGGATGAGTGGACCCAAGTTTTGTTTGCTAACAAAATAAGGCACTCTAAAAAATTATACTGGGACAGGGCTTCCCTGGTGGCGCAGTGGTTGAGAGTCAGCCTGCCGATGCAGGGGACACGGGTTCGTGCCCTGGTCCGGGAAGATCCCATATGCCAAGGAGCGGCTAGGCCCATGAGCCATGGCCACTGAGCCTGCGCGTCCGGAGCCTGTGCTCCGCAACGGGAGAGGCCACAACAGTGAGAGGCCTGTGTATCGCAAAAAAAAAAAAAGGGGGGAACAAGCCAAAAGGAGCAGAACAATAGCAAAGTATAAAATAAAATTAGAAAAATAAAAGATTAGAAAAAATATATATAAATGAATCAGCAACAACAAGGTAAAACAAAACCCCAACCTAAAAGAAGAAAAAAGAAAAAAAAAGGCCTTGGCTATGGGGGGAGGAGTTTGGGGGGGGTGGAACTTAGGCAGGGGTGGGGTTTAGGGTGGGGCAGGGCCTGGGTAGGGTGACGCTAGAACGTAGGGCGGGGCCTAGACTCGGCGGGGGGGGGGGGGGGGGCGTTCAAGTGTGGGGGGGGGCCTCTGCTTAGGACCTGCGTGGAAGGGGAGAGGCAGCACCTGTGGAGTGTGGAGTTCCGGAGTTTGGAGGTAAGCCCTGGGTGAGGGTGTGTGGGTGGGGTTTTGCCCAGCGGTTGGAGGGAGTCTCAGAAGGGGTCTCCGAGTGTAGAGGTGGGGCCCTGGGTGGGTGTGTAGGGGCGGGGCTTGGGCTGTGCACTGTAGGAGGGAGGCTCCGAGGGCAGAGGATTAGGACCAGGAGCCCAAGAGGCTCCCCGGTGCCTAAGTGGACAGGGAAAGCACTGCCATGTTCCCTTCCTGTCCTCTGCGCCACCCCCTCTTGGTCTCCCCCAGGGTCTCCCCTGTCATCGCTGGACCCCTAACCGTGGGTGGGTCCCCCTGGGTGCAGGAACTCCTCCCCTCCCCCAGCCGCCCTTCAGGGGTGCTGGTCCCGTCCTGCCTCCACTTCTCCTCCCCCCCTCACTCTCCCCCACACCCCACGTCCTACCCAGTCGCTGGGGGTTCCTCCCGTCCCCTTAGGTGTCCGTGGTCCCCCACCGGTGCCTGGTTGGTACCCTAGTTGTGCGGAGACGTTAATTCTGCGTCCTCCTAGTCCGCCATCTTGACTCCACCCCCTATACTCATTCTTTTTTTTTTAATTTTAAAGAATTTTAATACATACTTAATATGAACTATTTCAGTCCCTCTTAACATGTAAGACCCTGACTCAAAGTACTTTTATACCGTTATTTTCAAGTATTGCACAATATTGGTACAAAATTAATATTTATGATTACATTTTCTTCCACAATATATAGCAAAAATCTTTAAACCTTTAACAGAAAATACATTTTTTCAAAAAGCAAATATTCATACATTTTAATTCCACCACTAAAGGAATATCCTGTACACAATTTAGAATAGTTGATGTCTTTAAAATGGGTATTTTACAATTTCAGTAAAAACAATACAGCATGAAGCTGCTGCTGTCACAGATCCCTGTAGTAAAAAGATATAAATGCAATACCATGTCGTAGAAACAATATATATATAACCTTAGATATTTTACAAACTTTGTACTAAAGTAAATTATACAATTAGAAGAGACCAATAAACCCACTTATTAGTGCCAATTTTTTTTTTTTCTTTTTTTTGCGGTACACGGGCCTCTCACTGTTGTGGCCTCTCCCGTTGCAGAGCACAGGCTCCGGACGCGCAGGCTCAGCGGCCATGGCTCACGGGCCCAGCCGCTCCGCGGCACGTGGGATCCTCCCGGACCGGGGCACGAACCCGTGTCCCCTGCATCGGCAGGCAGACTCTCAACCACTGCGCCACCAGGGAAGCCCTGTGCCAATTTTTTATAAAGGAAAAAAAATCAGCCATGTCCTTGCTATATCTTAAATACTGTAAGAGGCCATATCTGAGAGTATACTTTAAAATATACAGTCAGTATAAAATAACTTTGTGCTTGGTTCGCAGTGAAAAATGATGCATGTTTTATTTTTGTAACCAAGCTTGAATGTATCCTTACTATAAGCTTAAAAAAAAAATCTCAAGGAGGTTATAAAAAAGAAAAATCCCCTTTGGGCCTGAGCATTTTAACTTGTACGATACATCTTTTCTTTTTTTTTAGTTAGCCATAACAGGCTGGAATGGCTGGTTGGAATACTGCATGTTATTTAAGCTAAAATTCAAGCCATCTACAAAAGACTTCTCATGGAGGCCTCCATAGGCCACAAACACATCAAAGGCATTACTGTACTGGAGAGGACTGAGGTTAAGGGGGCTGTCACCTGGGAACATTCTATTGGTACTACTACCTTGAGCCTTTATATTAGGAAAAATAAATTCCTTGGCGTTAGGAGAAAGAGCGGAGGTTTTCTGCTGTTGCTGCTGCTGCGGTGGTGGTGACGGCGGTGGCTGGGATGGCTGTTGCTGTGGCTGTGGCTTCTGCTGGCTACCCAGGCCAAGCCCATGCCGACAGTGCACTGAGGAAGAGATGGCTTTCTGCTTCAAGAGGTCATTCACGTTCAAGCCGAGGTTGATAGGGGAAGTACGTGCAACCTTGTTGCTTTGGCCACTATTCTTCATTTTGGTAGAGCCGAACTTGGTGGCAGCAAAAGTGGCAGTGATAGAGGTTAAAGGCTGAGTGGACCGGGGCATGAAGGGAGGGCTTACAGCAGCAGAGTGACCAAAGGGAGGAGATGGAGAGCTGGACGCTGATGAGGCTGGGTCACTTGTGGGCATAAAAACCGGGACCTGGGCTTCCCTGGTGGCGCAGCGGTTGAGAGGCCGCCTGCCGATGCAGGGGACACGGGTTCGTGCCCTGGTCCGGGAAGATCCCACATGCCGCGGAGCGGCTGGGCCCGTGAGCCAAGGCCGCTGAGCCTGCGCGTCCGGAGCCTGTGCTCCGCAACGGGAGAGGCCACAACAGTGAGAGGCCCGCGTACCGCATAAACAACAACAACAACAACAAAAAACCCGGGGCCTCTGGGTTAAAGCTGTTTTTGAGCTCCTTTTCCAACTCACATCCATTTTCATTATTATCATCCACATAAAACACCTTCACTGGTCCCTTTTCACCAGTTTGGTAGGAAACCTCAAATGGGTCGATCCAAACACTAGGATCCTACGGCAGATTGCCACGAGCACCATCAGTGCCCAAACCACTCTCTTTGGAGGCTTGTTCAATCACTGGGTCCACTTTCTCCCCTGCGTGTATACATCTAAACCCTGACCCTTCGTATGGCTTTTCAGGATACCAGTGCCCTTCATATTTCTTCTTAAGAAATCTTCCAAGCTCTTCACCAAAACTGTTGACACGTCTCCTGGGAGGGGGCTGCTTCCACCACAGACCCGGCAGCTGGGCAGGGGCACGGGAGGGTAGGCGGCGGTGAGCCGGCCGGGCCGAGGGCACGCCGACGCCGCCAGACGGCGCTCGCCCCTTCTGGCTTGGGGTGGCGAGGACGGGGTCAGGGGAGCGCGCTCACTTCTCCGCACAGCCCGGTGCCTGGCCCAGCGTCCCCGTAGAGCGCCCACTCCGCGCCGCGCCGGGGCTTTCCTCCTTCTCCCCTACACTCATTCTTTAAAGACTAAACTTCTGGCCTCTGAGGAGGGGGAGGAAGGGGCTTTTTGTCTGACTGTGGGATCAGAGAAGCGATGTAGCTGTTTAACTTGGTATATAATGGTCAACCAACAACAATTGCTTGGGTTACAGATTGGGTTCAAAAGCCCCCAACAAAACCTGACCAAGTGGTTTCGCAGGGTAAGTGTTGATTTTTAAAAGGAGTATAACACGAAATCTAGTGGGAGTGATCCAGGCTGGTGCAGCGGTGGTGCCCCCCATTTTCTGCCGTTCTCAGCATGTGACTTTCCTGTTTCTGGCATCCTTCTGGGCACTTTGATCACTACTGGGCAGGAGGAATGGGGAAGGGCAAAGGGGAAAGCTCATGCTCATGCCTTAATTCAAGAAGGCATCCTTAGAAGTCCCCAAGTGGACTTTTCATTGGCCAGAAATGGGTCCCATGGCTGCCCCTAGTGGCAAGAGTCTCAGGGTGGAGTTTTTGTTTGTTGTTTGTTTGTTTTCAGATGGCCTTTATTTAATTCAAAAAGGAGTTTTTATTTTTAACAGGGCACCCTGTATCCCTGAATAAAACCACGTTCTCTGGGTAGGAAAGAAGGGTGACAGGATACTAGGTAGACAGCCTGAAGCTGCTGTCACCCCTGTCTCCCCACCTTTGGTAATTCCTGTGCTCCAAGTACGGAGCTTCTCAGGGCTTCACCTGAGTAAATTGATTCACCTCTAGGTAGATTGTAACTTCCTTTCATCTGCCGTTTGCTTTCCATCTTCCAAAGTGACCTTTTTTACCTGCCAGGGCCTTCTCTCCCTTTCTCCCTGTCCTTGTGGCTAATATACTTTTTAACATCGTCTGTTATCATTTTAGTAGGATTCGGAAGGGAGGGATGACCAATTTGTGTGACTGATAACACCATTTAAAATCAGAGGTTGTCTAGAGCTCCAAGGAGGTGATTCTAAACACAGTGGCTCTTGGTTTTCTAGGAGGAGAGGAAGTGGGAGGGCTCCCAGGGGCAGAGTGAGGAGGTGGGACCAGAGCAGGAGGAAGTGGGCGGGGCAGGGTGGGGCGAGTTAGCAGGACAGAGGAAGGGATTGAAGGGGAGGGAGGGAAGGAGGAAGAGAAGAAGAAACGGAAGGAACAACTAACATTTCCTGAAGGTTCACGAGGAGGAGCCACCAGCGCACTGCTTTACAACCTTCATCTCTTCTAACCTCAGCCACTCTGCGGACAACCCAACTCCCCCCTGGTCTTTGGCCGTAGTGGCCAGAGTGTGTCTGTTTCATCCTCTTGTCTATGGCTTTAGGTCCTCCCAGGGTCACTGGGTAGCAACTCCCCAGCTCCACCACTCTCAACCACGTGGGGAAAAGGCTTTCCCACAGGTCCCACTGGGGCAGAGTGGGAATCGGTGAGCTCCCTCCAGACCTTCTAGGGTGTGCAGAAGTCTTGGGGGGGACTTCCCTAGTGGTCCAGTGGCTAAGACTCTGTGCTCCCAATGCAGGGAGCCTGGGTTAGATCCCTGCTCGGGAAACTAGGTCCCGCATGCCACAACTAAAGATCCTGCATGCCGCAATGAAGATTCCACACGCAGCAATGAGATCCTGTGTGCCACAACTGAGAACTGGTGCAGCCAATAAAAACAAAACAAAACACAAAAACGTCTTGGGGTTGCTGCCCCCCCTCCCCCCAGGACTTTCATACAAGAAATGGGACTCAGACCTCTCTATTCTGAGATTCCCGAACTCATTTAGGAGTTCGAGTACCCCTGACTCCAGGAGATGAATTTGTTGAGAAACAGGTCATGAGGCAGTTTTTTGGACCTCCACATAAACATGTCCCGTGATTGTTCTTAGAAGATCTTAGATCCAGCTTTCTCCTCTTCCCTGCTGACCAGAGGATTTTTAATCAGTCAGGATGGGAAATGTGTGAGTGCAGATAGATTCTGCCTGCGGTTGGATTCCTAGAAATAGTTTTTATTTATATCTGGACTGTGGTTTTTAAACTCAAAAGCCAAAAATT